TAACTAGGGACTTCTTTCATCATCCGCCACTTCATTTTCAACACTCCAAATGACCTTTCTATGACATTCCTAAGTGACGAATGTGCATAATTGAAGATCTCAGTTTTACCTTGTGGTTCTGGTGCCTCTCGGTACTCCTGTAGGTGGTACTTTGTTCCCTTGTACGGTGCAAGATAACCTGGTCGGTTAGCGTACCCCGAGTCCACAAGGTAATATTTGCCTATAACATTGAAACAATAGTTAGTATCACGAACTTGTACTCGCATGCACAAAAGTATAACCAACTAATTGTATACCTGTTGGTGGATGTGGAAACACTTTGCTGTATGTTGTTGTCGCATCAGTGAAGACCCTCATATCATGTACTGAACCTGGCCAGCCAGCTAACACGAATGTAAACCGCATGTCGAAGTCACACACAGCCAAGACATTCTGTGTTGTCATCCCTCATGCACAGTGTTTGCACAAACTTATCACTAGGCACCACACATGGGGACATGAGTCCCATCTATCGCCCCTATGCAGCCCTTGAAGTAGGGATAGAACCTAGGATTTCTTAGCCTATCATGCATAGTGCTGAAATTTGGGTCATTAGGCCTAATGATGTCAGAAGCAAGCTTGACAACAGACTTCAACACCCTATGAAACATGCTATGCACAGTCCCCAGTGACCTCTCAAACCTGTCCTCCGCTTGCCTAACAGATTGTGGAGCCCCCACCATCCACAGAAACATCCCAAGGGCTTCAATAGATGCGGATTTGCTATTAGATTTCAGCCCATATGATTCTACCAACACATCATGCAGACCGTGGAACATATCAGGGCTCATTCTGAACATGTTATAACAGGCATTCCTATTTCCTAGTTTACTATGTACCCATTCCAAACCACTAATGACTGGCTGTCTATACTCTGACCTTGACAAGTGCTTGTCAATGTGGTAGGCGTACTGGTACATACCGTACAGGAAAGCATCGTCATCATCCTCCGCCTCCATCCAGTCACTGATGAACTCGTCCAAATCATTCTCATAACAATCTTGCCTCGAGGACATCATCCCAGTCACTATTGTTTAGACATCCTCCTGTCAAAACGAAAACAGTTCACGTCAGTTTTCAACATCAACTAGGCAACATTAGCATGCATCCCTATTCAAACTGACTCATGCCAGTTACTCAAACTCATGCACTACATACATCAACAGATCATAGCCATATCCAATCATACTACAAATAACCAGTTCAAGTGTTCGACATGACATACTTAGGTCAATGACCAAAGACACCCAAAGACACCTCACATAGTTCTAATGACATAACTTAGTAACTACACGAGAAAGCTTAACAAAATAAGGTCTAGGGAGGACCCCGATGTATTGCTTAATCGTCAAGATCCTTCCTTGGGGCGAGGAGCTTATGAAGAAGTTCATAACAGCTCACTCTGCACGATCTTGAGCACGACCATCCACTCGGTTTGGGTCTCTTGATTTGCACCACACTGTCTTGCCAATTGTAGCACTAGTTCCACCTTCCTCCAAAGCGCTTTTGTTGTTGTCCTCAATTTTTGGTTCCTCTCTTGCCACATTGTTGTCATCATCTCAAGCCTCGCCTTGAAATCTCATTGTGTTCCTTCATGTGAGCATCCATGGTCCCGGCAGTGGGGCTCTTGGACCGCTTGCTCTCTTTTGGAGGCGATTGTCTTTGGTCTTGCTTGCCCTCTTAGTACCGACACTAAGCGGCGTAAGTTGGTCGTCGTGCTCATCATTGGAGTCGTCATCCGAACTTTCACCGTCAACTGTATTGCTTTGGGAAGGACAGAACGACGTTGAGCCATCAACAGCGTTGCCGGCGAACATCCGGTCCAAATCGTCCAAGTACGGAGGCCACCCGTCCTTGAGCTTCTTCCACTCCGGGTGTCCCTGAAAAACCGGCATAGGTGAATCATTGTATACTAACATTTTAACAGTACATGATTGAACATAAGATTGCTTACATACCACCGTACGAGAGTCCCACCAAGCATCAGTAGCAAGGATGGAGCCATCGTCTCGCCTGCCTAAGCCAGTGCCTTTCCGGAGGTCGTTGATAAAATTCCACAAATGCTTGAGCTGGCGTAACTTACTCTTGAACTGGTCCTTGTCATGAACCAAGGTTGTTGCTGCATAGTACCTTGCAATCAGATCTCTCCACCCCGACTTGTTCATGCAGCCGCGGATACAGTTGCCACTGTCAATTTGGTGGCACCAGATTTGGCAAAACTTGCTTATATTGGGCTCTGACCAGTTCCCCCTATCGTTCCTAGCCTAAACGATTTCATAAGAAATAATTTCACACCGACGAACAGGCTAAGATGGGGAGAACAGCAAATGCTTCGAACACAATAGTATACATGAGCAATGGAAGATAGAGCGATGGGTGAGAAAACTACGAGATGTGACCAACGGGGTAGCATGCATCGGGTTGACGATGTCGTCGTCCACCTGTGGGACAGCCCCGCAACGGCGGTGACGCCGGCCCCTTCCTCCACCGTCGACGGCTGAGGCAGAGGCGCGACCACGATGGCCGCGTGGCACTCGGTCGCCTCCGACAGCTTCTGATGTGGCGCGGCCTCCCGTGCCATCGCCGCCTCCTCCAAAGCGGGCGCTGGGAGGCTGCTTGTAGGTGAGGTTCCGCCGCCGAGGAACACGAGAAGCGGAGGTGGCCCCATCTGGGTACCAGCAGAGGTCGACCGAGGGTCGGCGTCAGAGCCGTCCATGGCAGCCCCATCCCCACCGTCGTTGAGGTCCGGGGAATCCAGGCCCCGGGCGGGAGGGTTGACGCCATTGGACCCGTGAAGGAAGGGTGGCGCCGGGTCGGTGAAGCCCTCGTGACACCGACGAACCCAAAAGCGGGTTCGCCCCGCGCGAGGAAGTTCCGCGTCGTGCGCCGCTGCCGCCGAGCCGCCGTCGGTTTATTATTGCCGCCTCCGTTATAGCCGTCATCGGGAAGCCGTCCATCTAGGGGCCGCCGCCGTGCGCAATGATGACCGGATCCGCCACGCCTCGTAGATCTACCGGCGGGGTGGTGGATCTAAGCGGCGCGGCGCTTCTTTGCCGCGGCGAAGCGGCGGGACCGCCGAGGCGAGATGCGTGCGGGGGAGAGCGGGGCTAGGGTTGACGAATGCGGGAATGGAGGGGTCCTGCCTGCCGACGCTGTGTGCCACGCGGTTTTGCGGCTGCCGTCGGGCCTCACGCCGAAAACGTACGCGGGCCGCTTTTCACCCCCCGTTTAGTTCCGAACTCCAAAAACTGGCCCAATTTCTTAATTTGGATCCCCAACTAAACACGGGCTCAGTGTCTCTCACCCCAGCACGTCTTTCCAAGCTAAACTTGTTTATGCAGCGTCTCAGCTTCCAACAGCATTTTGGTGCGCTCCCAAGTCAAAAATATTACATACTACAGTACAGTGGCAACTTTAGTCACTTTTAGTCTCTAAAATACTAAATGGAGTGATTAAAAAGTGGTAGTTTAGTCAAGGACAGCCCCAGCGCAAGCTAACAAGAGTGTTAGCCTCGGACAAAAGTTGCACGCCACCTAGGTACAGAAGTTACAAGATAATGGTCATGTTTGCTTTGCTAAAATGTTATGGCTGAAAATATTGATTTGTTGTGAGAGTGGTTCGTTAGAATTGGCGCAATGTTTTTCCAACGCAAACCACTGCTCACATGTGGCCTCTGCTCTAGCTCAGCAGAAAGCATCATTGAGTCTGGCGCACGGGGATTGGAAAGCATCATTGAGTCTGGCGCACGGGGATTGGATGCTCACAATTGTTGTGGTCCCGTTTACAGAGTGTGGAGGCTATTTTCTTTCCACAACACGTGCTCTACCGATGCCTCAGCTTTTTGCCAGTCGAGGCATTCGGCGCCTCTGCAGACGTGGAGCTTGGGTCGGTGTCGTGTCGGGGAAGGCCTTAGTCAAAGGAGTAACTAAAAAGTGACTAAATTTTATTTCAGTAAATAAACATGGCCTTCGTCTAGTGACCCAATGGCACGGTTAAGGCCAGCGATCCTTTCGGTGCCGTAAAGGCTGATTGGCCGGCATCGGTCGCCATGGATCCACGGAGAGAAAGAAACAAATCAGCAAGCACCACTTCGTGACGCGAAAAGCTAATCACGGTTCACTGCCTTGTACTAGGTGCAGCCCTGGGTTAGCGATAATCTTCCTATAAACTACTCTGTTTCCGAGGAACGCAATCGGAGTATATGGCATCGCATCCATCTGCGTCTCCGATGAGAGAAAAATCCGGCGGAAGCGACAGAAACAGGATGCAGCCTAATCACTCATAACGCTACCGGTACCAACCTACCTGGTTGCGCGATTCAACTCTACAAGATGCGGTTGCTGCTGATGGAAGCAAAGCTTGTCTGCTGGCCGTGTGTGGCATCGCCAAGAAAGCTGAGATATCACCGATCAAAAAAAGAAAGAAAGCTGAGATATCTTGTTTGTCATGTACTACTGCCGAATGAAGGTGCAGATTTGAAATCCTGACTAGATGTATTTGCGTAGGAAATAATACGCAAGAATTCATTTATGGACGGAGACAAAGACACAAGTACATACGGAGTAGGCACAAGACGAAACCAAGAGAACGATGTCTGATGATCTTTTGACGAAAATCAATCATTTCCCGGTTGAGCCATCAGCATTAATGGACTAAAACCACACTGGAAACAGAAGCTGCTGTCAACCAACAATTATTAACAATATGGACTGCTTTATTTCTTTTTCCTAATCACAAATGAAAAGCAGCTACGCTTCTGCTTGGGGAACGAAGAGTAGGCCCGAACGAAGAGGGCGCGTTCGGCATCAGAACGACTGGAAATAACGAGGAGCAAAAGTACAGTTTAATCTTCCAGGCATCTGAACCACTCAACGCTGATGCACAGGCCGTCAATAGTGCAGCCAAGAAGACCAACCTTTTCGTGAGGCGTTTGAAACAAGCAGAGGAGTAAGTCCCAGAATCTAGAGGAAACCTTCAGTGCCTTGGCCGGCACTAACCTCCCTGTACAGTTCCAGGGCCTCGTTCATGACACTTGCTCGCGACAGAAGCTGCGCTCTCTTCTTGCTGGACGGATGAGTTGAGAGATAGTTATTCAATGCTGAATCTCCTCCGATCTTTCCTAGTTTCTCATAAACCGAAGGGGCAACACGTGGATCGTAGCCAGCAGCAGCGAGCAGCAGGAGCCCAATGTGGTCAGCCTCTATCTCCATTCTGCAGGGACATAACAATGTCAGAAGAGCTTCCAGCAGGCAACAAGGTAGATAAATGAATGGCACACAAAGTCAAAATTGATTCTTGTAATAGGACTTAGTCAACCTCCTGAGCAGCCAGTTATTTCTGAATGGCAGAAGTGAACAAGACTTCTACTGAAGATGGACAGACAGGATCATTCAAACAAGTCATATGGGAAAGGTGTGAGGCGGCTAACTAGCCAATACTAGCAATGAAGAAGCATTATTTCAATACTTCTCACTTGATGCAACATTTCAGCTGCATTTAGGTAGCCAAACTATGTAACAGACGCAAAGGCAACCAAAACTAACAAAAGTAATTGGCCACACAATGAAGTTGAACAAAGTGGCATTTAAAGTTTACTTCTGCAAATGTCTTTCCCATCTTACTAGAGGATGGAGAGGTCAAACTCTATTAGCATTTATATGCTGAGCCTCCTCACATAAGATTCCAATTCACCACTGTCCAAGCCTCAAAGGCATAACATTATGCACTTGGCATGTCAGTATGAGAAGAGAAGACCTAACCTCTCTACTTGGCATGTCTGGACCAACTTCAATCCTGGCTAAAACAGAAGGATTAAAGCTTCAAACTCCTTGCTAACAGTCCTACTGATTAAAGTAATAATGTTTCAAGGACTATATGACTAGCTCTTATGTGAGTTCCTGCATTCCTGGTAAGACACTAGTCACGTAAAGTACTCTGCTCACTCCCCTTGCTAGGATCTTGGTAAATAAGCTTGCACTGACCTTACCTTTCCTTCCTAGCCTTTTTTTTTCCCTCAAAGACGCAGGAGAGCTGCACATCATTATATTAAGAAGATGAAAAAGGGACAAGTGCTCATACAACACAAAAACTCAAACTCACTCCACACACACACTATGCTGCTGCCCTTAGGAGAACACTCGCGCCTGCAAAAGAACCCCTGCCGACGACCATGCCTTTCCTTCCTAGCTTTGAGAGCGATACTACCAATAACACAACACAATGAAACTATCCTACTTCGGGAATAGGCTGGAACAAAGGAATCCACCATGGGGGACTGATCTTACCTTAAGTAAACATGGAGACATATTGCCATCAAAGTAAAAGCCATGCATCTCAATTATCACTATAGACTAGTACATCTTTCAAATGGTCAATTTTCGCATATAAAAATTTCTGAAGTGTCCAGCTACAAGAAAATTTGTCGGAAATTCAAACAGCATACTTCGATTATAAATGCCTACGTGTTGAAGCTCGAGTGGTTGAGCTAAAAGGTTATCATTATAAGCGGTTTTGTCAGATTGGAAGCAAAGCCATGAAAAGATAGTGTCGGGGACCTAATACCGGGGTAACCAATGAGGTGGAACTAATAACCATCGAACGTTGACGTTTCCGGTCAGACAAGAACACTACTACGCTTCTTGCCCGAACGACGGAAGCTTGGTTCCGCCTCGCCCGACCCCCGAGGGCTAGACTCCGCCTCGCCCGACGGCTGGGGGTTGGCTCCGCCTCGCCCGACGGCTGAGGGCTGGCTCCGCCCCGCCCGACGGCTGAGGGCTGGCTCCGCCCCGCCCGACGTCCAAGGGCGGGCTCCCCCTCGCCCGACGGTTGAGGGCGGGCTCCGCCTTGCTCGACGGCTGAGGGCGGGCTCCGCCTCGCCCATTGTCTGAGGGATGGCTCCGCCTCGCCCGACGTCCGAGGGCAGGCTCCGCCTCGCCCGACGACTGCACCCTGCTCCTTCATGATGACGAGCACAGGGTACGACAGGACATTCGAGTCAACCGCAGTACCGAGGACCATGCCCTGCACGCCTGCAGGAAGGTACCGTCAGGATACGATGGGACGGGCGTTTTAAGCCCTTTCCGACCTAACAGAGCCTGAACAGTGTTGTAGGCGCCGACTTTTGTCCTACAGTGTTGTAGGCGCCGCCATCAGCCCTCGGGCGCGGATACTAACACAGGCATACGACAACCACTACAATCCAAAGAGGACCTCACATCATCTACAGTAACAAGCGTATAGTCATTTCCCCGTCTACTCCCCGCAGAGTCATGGCTCGGCGCCCTGACACACCGCACCGTCCGCCGGGGGAGGATGGGACATGACCACTCGCTGAGACGAAGCCAGAGCGCGGCCCTATCAGGATCAACGAAACATGCTATCCCTGGCATGGTCTGCCATGTCAGCAGGGCAGGCTCAAGGGAAAAGGAAGACCCGACACCCTCGAAGAACCTTCTCTACCTTTGGTTTTTTCCTCTTTCTCCCATCTGTAATCCCTGCCCCCCCTGGTCTATAAAAGGGGGAGGGGGGGACAGGGCACCCAACTAGGGACGACGAATCGATTCCACACACAACACACAGCCAAGCAGCAATCAAGCTCTTGGCATCCTTTTGACCTTTCCATCAGAGACTTATGACCTGTCCCTCTCGACCGTTTGTATCCCTTACTACGAACCTTTTTAGGTACTAATAACACGAGCAGCAGCAAACTGGACGTAGGGATATTCTGCCCGAACCAGTATAAACCTTGTGTCCTTTAGTACACCATCCGAGCCTAACGCGCAACAATTATAAATTTACTAGTTGGTGTTTGTTCGAAACACCGACAGTTGGCGCGCCAGGTAGGGGCCTTTGCGCGTTCCAAATCAGGCCTCGGATGGCTAGCCACGCAATCAGCTGGGTCCCGGGCGCACACGTGCGTTTCGGTGGCCTGGACTTCATCGTTACGGTGGGAGGAGAGTTGGCGTTGGCCCACGTCGCCATCCAATCTCTCCCCTCCATCGACTTCAACTACGGGAGGCTTGAGCGCCAGCCTGACGTCTCCCTTGGACCCCAACCGTCCAGGGAGGACCCGCGCCACCTCACCCTCTCCCCGGAACACTCCGCACGGAGCGCCCCGACGGCGTTTCCGTTCGGTCTCCGCAACGCCGCGGCGACCGTAAGCCACCTTGTGGCACAGCGCACGATCCCGTCCCCCGCGAACAACGAGTTCGTGGGGATGATCGAAAGCGTCACGGAATCCCTCCATGGCCTCCTCGCGGAGGAGCCAGGGTCGGACTCTGGCTCTGACTCCAGCAAGGGGAGCCAGCACCCCTCCCGGGAATGTTTCATGGCGGGTACCCCTGAGGGACACGTCGAAAGCGTCTCCGCGGAGGAGGCTACCCCGGCAGGCAACCTCGGCGGCGAAACCGAAGAGGATACAGCGGCCCCACCTCACGTAGGGGTGGAGCAGCTGAGAGCCCGAAAGCGGGAGATCAACGAAGCCGGACATCAGCTTGTTCAGGAATACGCGGATGTCGATCGGGAAATCAAACGCCGCGGAGACGGTGGGCGCGCACGTGCCATGGCCCGTGACGTAAATCGAAGGATCATCGCCGACGATGAAACCCTTCCTCACTTCGCTCGGGCAAGCCAGAACATCGCCGCCGCAACGGCCATGCTTCATGGCCTTCCCGAGGCCGCAACGCCCGAGGATCGTCGGGCCCACCGCGAAATTCGCATGCTGCTCGAGCGTGCGGCGGCGCAGCAGGCGGAAAGCTCGTTGTCTCGGCGACGCGAGCTCGACACTAGTCAGCGCACGCCCTCGGTGTGCTCGGCCAGGGACGCATCAGTCCACCAGGCACCACAAGGCGGCAGGCAGCGCGCTGCGGCCCAGATACATCAGCGTCTCGGCCGTAACCGCGACGCACGCAGCACCGTCGACGCCTGCAGATGTACCTACAGCGACCCAAGAGAAGGAGCCCGCCACGGCTATCACCCTCGTCGCGGCGGACGCTACAACAGCGGCGAGGACCGGAGCCCGAGCCCCGGCCTGCCAGGCCCTCAGGCCTTCGTCCGGCACATCCTCAACGCTGCTTTCCCGCCGAGGTACCGACCACCTACCAATATCCCTAAGTACTCTGGGGAGACAAACCCCGGACTTTGGCTCGAAGACTATCGGCTTGCCTGTCAAGCCGTTGGTGCGGATAATGACGACTTCATTATCCGCAACCTTCCACTATTCTTGGCCGATTCGGCACGAGTGTGGTTGGAACACCTACCGTCCAACGCAATCCAGAGTTGGGCGGACCTGAAGGAGATCTTTGTGGTGAACTTCCAGGGCACTTACAAACGCCCTGGGAACCCATGGGACCTCAAGAACTGCCGTCAGAAGGCCAGTGAGACCCTCTGCGGGTACATCCGGCGCTTCTCCCGACAGTGCAACGAGCTCCCTAACGTCGCCGACGCCGACGTGATAGGAGACTTCCTGTCCGGGATGAGCTGTGAGTCCTTGGTTCATAAGCTGGGACGCAAAGGCCCGCGAACCACTAAGGAACTCCTGAACATCGCCACCAGCCACGCCTCAGGAGAAGAGGCGGTCGGAGCGATCTTCGATCGCCTCGAGGGCAGGGCAAGGCGGGACGAGGGCGCCGGTGAAGGCACCTCCAATCATTCCGCCAAAAGGAAGAATAAGAAGCAACGGTGCGAGGACTCACTCGTGGCCGCCGCTGACCGCAAGGGTGGTCGGAAGCCCGCGGAGGGCACTCCGAACCACTTCGAAAAATTACTCGAGGGGCCGTGCCCGAACCACGCCTTTCCTGTCAAGCATCTGCTCAAGGACTGCAGCCTCATGTGGCGGTTCTTGTCCGGAGGCTCCAACAAAGGGGGGCAGGGGAAGGACCCTCCCTCCACTGCGGACGACGCCGAGGAGAAGGACGACGGCTTTCCAATGTCGGACGGCTGCCTTATGATCTTCGGAGGATCAGTGGCCTACGACTCCAAACGCCATCAGAAGGTCGCATGCCGCGAAGTCTACATGGCCCAACCGGTCACACCTCCCTTCCTCCGGTGGTCGGAGTCCGCCATAACCTTCGATCGGACCGACCATCCGGATACCGTCCCGCACCCGGGGAGATATCCGCTTGTGGTCGACCCAATCGTTGGCCCAAAGCGACTCACCAAAGTACTGATGGACGGAGGCAGCGGCCTTAACATCATGTACGCCAAGACGCTCG